TGTGTAAAAATCAGCTATACGATGGCAGATGAGTAAGGAATTGCCAGTTGTGTTTGTACCCTGGGCTGTTTGCATTCATACACCTGCAGCGGCCATCCCCTAAGAGTGTCCTTTCAGAGCAACAGGGAACAAACATGGACAGACCATCCCCAAGCCACACACCAAACTGTGGAAGTAAAATATTCTTCTTTTTCATAGAATAAAGAAGCAGATTGATTAAAAGAAAGTCACAGTAGCGTATTTACCAATATGGAATCCCTGCTTTTACAGAGAATAATTCCCTGCAGTCCCAGTCCCCAAATACTGAATTAAACATGCAAACACTCAGAACTAAAAGAAAAAAAAGAAAGAAAGAAAAAGAAACCAAGAACATAATCTTCAGCACATGTAAAATAGTCCTAACAATGGTTTAAGTGTTACAAAGAGACCCACGTTTCGTAACTTTAAAAAGTCATTGCAGGAACGCAAAGGCCTAAAAACTCTTAAAAATGCAAAGTTCTTTTTGGATTTAATAGGCTTGAATTTTTAGCAGTTTCGCGTTTACAGAGCTGAGCAGAAATGACTGAGTTCCCATATAGTCCCTTACTTCTCCCCATTCCATTCCCCCTCTTCTGAGCATCTTGCATTAGTGTAGTGTGTCTGTTACAACTCATGAGGCCACATTGCTATGTTACTATTAACAGAAGTGTGTAGTTTCCCTACAGGTTCACTGTGTCATACATTTTATATACATTTGATGCATTTTTGAAGAATATATAATGATGTATCTTAGCTCACGCAGGCTGCTGTAGACCGGGTGGCTTACGCACAATAGAAACTTTCGCCCCACAGTTCAGTTCTAGAGGTTGAGAAGCCCCAGATCAAGGTGCTGGTACATTTGTGTCTGGGGAATACCCACTTCCTAATACACAGGTGGGTGCTTTCTCCCTATAATCTCACGTGGCCAAAGGGGTAAGGGAGCTCTCTAGGATTTTTTATTTATAAAGGCACTAATTCCATTCATGACCCTCAAGCCCTAATCACCTCCCAAAGGCTCCACCTCCTAATACCTTAGAAATGAAGTTTCACTATATGAATTTGGGGGGAACACAAACCCCCAGGGTAAAGCAGCACGTGTGCGCCATTACATATCATATGAAATAGTTCAGTGCCCTAAAAATCTCCCGTGTTCCAACCTATTCTTTTTCCCATTCCTCCCCATTGACCAGAACCTCTGGAATCACTGGTCTTTTTATGGTCTCGTGTAGTTTCGCCTTCTCCAGAATATCTAGTAGGAATTTTACGGGATATAGCCTCTTCAGACTGGCGTCTCTCCCTTAGCATCATGCCTTGAAGGTTCCGTTATGGCTTTTCATTGCTTAGGAGTTCCTTTTATTTATGAATAAAATATTCATCATTCAGTATTTCATCATATGGAGGGAGGCACCAGTTTGTTCCTCTGTTCACCTACTGAGGGACATGTTAATTGCTTCCCATTTGGTCAATTATGAATGAAGTTTCTATAAACATTCATGTAGAAGTTTCTGTGTAGGAATCAGTTTTCAATTCATTTGGGTAAATACCAAGGAGTGCAACTTCTGGATCATATGGTGGGGGTATTTTTCATTTATCAGGAAGCTGCCAGGCTGTCTTCCAAAGTGTCTGTACCACTTTGCATTCCCACCAGCAATGAATGAAAGTTCCTGTTGCTCTGCATCCTCACTAGCATTTGATACTGTCTGTACTTCAGATTTGGACCAGTCTAATAAGTATGTAACGAAAATCCATTGTTTTAATTTGCTATTCCTAATAACATGATATTGATCTTTCTTTTTTTCCAGATGCCTATTTCCCATGTGTGTATTCCCTTTGGTGAGGTGTGCATTCAGAACTTTTACCCATTTTAAAATTGAGGTTTTTGCTTTCTTATTGTTGTGCTGAGTTCTTTGTGTATTTTGGAGACTAGTTTTCATTTTTTTTTTAAATCAGGTATGGGTTTTGCAAATATTTTCTCTCTGTGGCTTGCCTTTTCATTCTCTGAACAATACCTTTCACAGAGGGTTTTTAATTTTTATAATATCTAGCCTTTCAAATTTTTCTTTCATGGATTATACTTGTGGTCTTGTATCTAAAGAGTAATTGCCACTCTCAGGTCCCCTAGATCGTCACCTCTGCTGTCTTCTGGTTTTATACTTTCCTGTTTTATATTTAGGTATATTATCCATTTGAGGTAATTTTTGTGAAAGGTGTAAGATCTTTGTCTAGATGATGATGATGACAATGATGATGATGATTTTTACATGTAGGTCATCAGTTGCTCCAGCACTATTGGTTAAAAAGATGTTCTCTCTAGTGAACTGCCTTTACTTCTTTTCAAAAGATCAGTTGACTGATTATATTTGTGTGATCTATTTCTGGGCTCTTTGTTCTATTTGTCTATTTTTTAACCAGTACTACACTGTCTTGATTACTGTAGCTTTATTGCAAGTATTTGACTTTGTTTTTCTCCTTCAATATTATGTTAGTTATTCTGGATCTTTTGTAGAGATCAAGTTGGGAAGAACTGACATCTTAGAAATATTGAGTCTTCCTATCCATGTATGAGGTGTCTCTCCATTTATTTAGTTCTTTGATTTCTTTCATCAGAGTTTTGTGGTTTTCCTCATCTAGGTCTTATACATATTTTCTTAGATGTATACCTAAACATTTAATTTTGGGGTGCTGATGTAAATGATACTGTGTTTTAAAGTTCTATTTCTAAGTATTGCTTGCATTTAATAAAACAGGTGATTTTTCCATGTTAGTCTTGTAGCCTGCAACTCTAATTGTTTATCAGTTATTGACGACTTATTGTTGACTCTGATTTCCTATATGGATAATTGGGAAATCCCTCTCTGCCTTCCCTGTTTACCTTTTATTTACATTTCTCTCTTATTACATCAATTAAGATTTTCAGTACAATTTTGAATTAGAGTGGTGAGACGGAATGTCTTTGCCTTGTTAAGACATCTTAGTGAGAAAGTATCTAATTTCTCACTATGAAGAATAATGTTAGCTGTAGGTTTTTTTTGTATGTGTGCATTTCAGTAGATTGTGTCTTTCAAGGTGTTGGTCCCTTAATCTAGGTTATCAAATTCATGGACATGGAATTGTTTCTGATATTTCTTTATTATCTTTTTAACGTCTATTTATTATCCTAGTAATGTATTTTTAATAAAATAATGCAAATATTAGTTAAAAGGGAATTTCTAGCTTCTTATTCTGAGTGTATAAAGAATTTGGCTTTTTATAAATTCACGTGTTATGAGATGCACAGAGTCTAGGTTACTGTTGTCATGGAAAGAATGAATTGGTACAGGCACAGACTTTGAGTTCTGAAGCATACCAGTACTTTATATATTAAAACATAAAATAAACATTATAGAAGTAAACCTTAAAAATTGAGCGCAAAGGCACACACAAGAACGTAACTCTACATGAAATTAATAAACATAACCAAACAAAAAATTTTCAAGGAAATTTTGAATGCATTCCTCTGGTTGTATATACTTATTGATATACAATTTGAAATCAAAAAGAACTTCAATCAAAGTCATCTTGAATTTTGCTCAGTAAGTTTTCTTTCTGAGATAGTAATCTTCTTGGATATTTATTTGGTGTTTTTCATCAATCTGGGGAAGTTTTTAGCCATTAGAATTTCAAATATTTTGGGCAGCCTGGGTGCCTCAGCGGTTTAGCACCGCCTTCAGCCCAGGGCCTGATCCTGGAGACCCAGGATCGAGTCCCACATCGGGCTCCCTGCGTGGAGTCTGCTTCTCCCTCTGCCTGTGTCTCTGCCTCTCTCCCTCTCTCTCTCTCTGTGTCTCTCATTAATAAATAAATACAATCCTTAAAAAAAATAATTTCAAATACTTCCCCCCAAAACTTATCTTATAACTGAAAGTTTGTACTCTTTGACCATCAGCTTCCTACTTCCCCTTCTTCTAGTCCTTGGCAACCACCATTCTACTCTCTGCCTGTTTGTGTTTAACTGTTTTAGATTTCACATGTAAGTGAGATCATACAGTATTTGTCTTTCCGCATCTGGCTTATTTCATTTAGCATAATATCCTCCAGCTTCATCCATGATTTTGCAAGTGGCAGGATTTCTTTCTCATGACTGGATAATATTCCACTCTATAAATATCACATTTTCTTTATCCATTTATGTGTCACTAGACATATTGTTTTTATATTGTAGCAATTGTAAATAGCACTTCAATGAATGTATGAATGCAAATATCTGTTGAAGATATTTTTAAATTTTTGATTATATTTTTGAGGAGTTTTTCATAATGTATATACCAATTTACATATGCCAGCAGTTCACAAAGGTTTCCTTTTCTCCAGATTCTTGTGAACACATACCTCTTATCTTTTTGATAACTATTCTAGAAGGTGTGAGAATCTCATTCTAGTTTTCATTTGCATTTTGCTGATGATGTCTTTCCTTGATTTCTATTTTGTAATTTCTGTATATGCCTGTTGAATGTGATTGGATCTGGACTTCATAATGACAGACTGCAGAGTTTCTGGATTGTGTTATGATCTGCTAAAGAGTGATGTGTCTTTAATCCAGCTTGGGCATACTGAAACTACAAACTCTGACTCCCTTTCAGTTATCAGCAGCTAAATCATACTAATAGTTCTTTGATATTCTAACTCCTGCTTTTTACCAGGCTCACCAAAACCTCCAACAAAGAAGAATAGTTGAGGTTCTAGTTAATGAATTTGAGGTACAATTTAATTAAGGTACTGATTAATCTATCAGACCAGAGGAAAATATCTCAGAGATTATTTTATCAGACTTATCTCCTTATGTTTTTGCCACAAGTATAAATTACTTTTCTCAGCTTCACTTGCATTTTGGTATGGCTATCTGATTGATTTATAGTTAATGGGGTATGAATAGAAATGATGTGTGCTATTTCCATCACATCCTATAACAACCTTCCTTTTCTAATTTTCCCATTATTTTCTCAGTTTATGGCTGAGCATGGAACTGAGAGCCTGGAGGTGAATATAGCCAGAGGGTGTAAGTATCCTGAGAAGTGTCCAAATAGAATGCTTTCATCAACCAGGAGTACCCACATTGGATTATTAGGTGAGTAAGTATTAAAATCTTATTAAGTTAAACCATAGAAATTAAAGGATTAACTTCTCTTAGCCCCTAGCAGCACTTTGAAACTAGAATTAATAAGTACATTAATTCTGAATAAAATATGTCAAAGTAAGTGCGAAAGTAAAAAAAAAGGAAAAATGGAGAATGGTAAAGGTACTTTTTAAAGCAGACACTAAAAGACAGCAAAGTAGTAGAATAAGGGTTTTTGCATAACGTTTCTTGTTTTCTTCAAAATATCAGTCACAATTAGAAATTGTTTTAAATATTTTTCTCTATCCAACCATGGAGTAATTTCCAGGGATTCATAAAGTTATTGTTACAAAGAGAGTACTAGAATACAATAAATAAACCAATAAATGGTGAGTTTTACTAAGTCATATTTACTTTAATATTTCTTGAATGTAAATCCTTTGAGGTATATACAATATCATGGTTTATTTTTTCCTCTCTTAATCTCTTAGTACTTCTAACCTAGGTTTCTGAATAGTTTCCACCTCCTACACCTGCTTAGAGTGATAGTCCTAAGCTCAACGTTCATAGAACTACTCTCCTATTTAAACTTTGATGAATCATCATTGTCTATAACTTTGAGTCCAAGTTTCATGTCTAAGCATAAAAGGTTCAATTTCTTTCCTGTTCATTCTTACTTCTCTCTGGAAGTTCGTGTCCTGACATTGTTTGCTCTAGGCACAGTAAGCTATTTTCAGATAGTATCTGAATACTCTTACCACTGAATGCACGTCCGTTTTTCTTTACTTTGCCTTTAAAGTACCTCTTCATACCTCACTTGTATTAAGAGGCACACCTGTTAAATATGGTTCATAGAGCCAGGAAATGCAAGTTATACTTATAAATAAGGAATGAAAATCAAAAATGTTAAGTTTGCCTAAATCATAAAGCTTATAAGAAGGACCATGATCTGATCACAAGTCTTTTTGTCACTCTAGCATGGAAAAAATAAGACATTATATAAAATCTTTGGTTCTTTGTCATTGATTTGTGCAACTATTTCTTTACAAATATTTTATGCAGATACTTTTTGCAAATATTTCTAAATTAATCTAAGTCTCAGAATCCTATAAAATGGAGCCATATAATACCTTCATTAGAGTTGTTACAAAGGTTAGGTGAAAAAATTATTAATCAGAAATTGTTCTGACTCAAAGAGGCTATATGTGTAAGAGAGCAGAAATCCCTTTCACAAACCTTTATACATATCAAAACATTTCAAAACTGCTATTTGATTTTTAAGAAAGAAGAATTTAAGTATTATTTACTGAGCCCATGCCATATGCCCTGAAGTCGGTTGGTTAAATTTAATTATCACAACAATGCTTTGAGAAAACTATCATCATTTCCACTGTTGCATAAGATGTGATGCAGTGCCCAGAATCTCCCCATCTGCTTGAAGTGCTGTCCAGAACTGAACCCTGCAGCTGCCAGACCCCTTAGGGCACTGCCTCAGCTGAAGAGAGTTGCCTCCTCTAAGGTTGCAAGCCCTTCCCTGCTCACATCAAAGGACATCAGTTAGGAGTTATCAACAGCCGTACCTCTCAACCCAACTCCCACAACTATAAAGCATCACTCTATGTTCAGAACCCACCATAGTGTCAGCTGAGGTGTCTATTGATATTATATCACAGCCGAATTCCGCTTTCTGCCTGCTGATGCTTCCTTTCCTTCTCTTTCACACCTATTGATGCCAAGAACACTCCCTAATAAACCACCTTCGTGCTTATGGCTGTCTTGGAGTCTGCTCTGCAACGCCATGACTCAGATGAGAAAAGAGAAAATGTCCTAGGAGCTACAGAATTTTTCACATTTTCACATGTTCTCAAAAACCAAACATCCTAGTGGTGTGTGTTTCCTTTGCCCTTTCTAATGGTAGCTCTGGGGAAGTTCCCAGTCACCGTCATACAGTAGCTAACAAATTCTGAATATATCATGTGATTCACCACTTAGGGAATTTAAACCCGTGTGTATACTCTGTAATTTTTGACACATGATCACTCATGTGCATCATCATTCACCAGTTTAAGGTTGGATGCTGTCCTGTACCCAAATTTAGGTCACAATCCATCACTGAGCCGTATTTTTTTTTTCTCTATGCTCTTGGGACTAGGACAGAATTCATAGAGACAGGACTGGAAGATTATCAACTATATTTAAAGATATCCTTGTTCAACACCTGTTTCATTCTTAAACATTGTCCTTTTTTGTTTGTTTTTTTAATTTTTTAAAATTTTTATTTATTTATTATAGTCACACAGAGAGAGAGAGAGAGAGAGAGAGAGAGAGAGAGAGGCAGAGACACAGGCAGAGGGAGAAGCAGGCTCCATGCACCGGGAGCCCGACGTGGGATTTGATCCCGGGTCTCCAGCATCGCGCCCTGGGCCAAAGACAGGCGCTAAACCGCTGCGCCACCCAGGGATCCCCTTTTTGGTTTGTCTTTTTTTTTTTTTTTGTCATTTTCCCCCCTCTTTCTTTGGTTTCCTTTTATTCCTACCCCTGTGACCATCTGGACAGAGAAGTTTGATTGACTTTTTTAGTGGATCTAGAGCTCCTTTTGTTATAAAATCCCTTTGGTCATTTGCTGCATATTCCCACCCCCATTGTCTAATCTTTAGCAATATCTCATCAATATAAGGCCAATAAATATAATTTGATGTGTGTATGGACAGTGTCTCTGGTGATAGAATATTACTCATAAAAGATATTCAAAGGATCAGCCTAAGTTAAATGCAGATAAGAGTGTTCATTAGGGGCACAAAGCCATTTTGTCCGGCTAGTATAATGTAATAAATGATAGAAAAATCTTCTAACCGGAGGTCTTCTTTATTCCCCATAAAAACATTCCTAAATTGTCCTTCAACCAGAACTAATGTATATAATAAAAATGCAGTGGCAATGAAGTTGGCAACTGTGTCTTAATGAATATGTGCTGGGGAAAAAATATGCTTAATTGACAGCCCTGGAAACACAAGCACCATTGCTCTAGGAAGAGATACAGCATAAAATGTTCCTGTACAAGCTTCTCATATTGCGTCCCTCTGGACAGGCTGGTTTTTGACATAGGAAAAGGCAATTAAATCTGTTTAACTTGTGCACGGCCGAGAACAAGGCATCTACTAAGTCCACATAAAGACAGGTATTAAGTTTGTTTTGTTTTTAAAAGCTTTTTAATTTTTTTTTATTCTTTCTCAGCAATGGAATCTCTGAACTGAGATATTGGTTTTCCTAAAAGTGTCACTCAACCAGAGAGTGTTTCTCAGTCTGCAAAAGATTCAAAGTACTCTTACTGATGAAATAAGTAAGAATACAGGGCAAGGGGTTTCACCCACTTAAATTGGCATAATAGTCTTAACCTCAACAATCACAAACTGCTCCATTCTTCCCCAAAGATTCTTGTGACAAGTCATCTGGTTTACAATCGAGACAGGCAGATGGCTGCTAGAGTTCAAGACAAATTTTCATTTCTCTAGGAGATGGAAATAAAGCCAAGGGAGTAGGTGCTAAATGGAAGAATTATTCAGCACACTGACCAGCACACTGACCAGGTTTGGGAAGTTACTATGAAAAAATCATTGAAACTATCAGTGCATAACAGTAGAAAAGGAAAGTATGGGATCCCTGGGTGGCGCAGCGGCTTGGCACCTGCCTTTGGCCCAGGGCGCGATCCTGGAGACCCGGGATCGAATCCCACGTCGGGCTCCCGGTGCATGGAGCCTGCTTCTCCCTCTGCCTGTGTCTCTGCCTCTCTCTCTCTCTGTGACTATATTAAATAAATAAATTAAAAAAATATTTTAAGAAAAGGAAAGTAAACAGGATAATAGGCGATATTAGTAACAAGAGAGAAAAGAATGATCAGATATCATTCCTTTATACTGCACCTTTCATCCTTTCCATAGTAATCTCATAGACCTGTGGTTTCTGTGTTGCAGACAAAAATTGCCATGGGGCAGGCAGGTAATACGATGCCCATCACCAAAATAATTATACTTTATATAGTTTTGAGAGGAAAGAGGTAGGTTTTCCTCGCAGATGGAGATCAATTAGAAAAAGAGAATAACACTACCTAAGATTATTTATTGTGTCCATGTACTAGAAAATATATAGATACATGGAATGATAAAATATACTGATAAAGTTAAACATAATTATATCTAAAAAAGATCAATATAATATGCTGATTTTGGAGACAAAAAAGAAACTCAAAGAGATTAAATAGTTGGCAAGTTTACAGAGCTAGTAATTTTTATCAGCATATTTTGAGATTTTTTTTTGAACAATGACTTGTAAATGTTATCAACATATGCATTTCATAGATGAGGAAGATTGAATAGGTACCAAACTATTCTTTAAATTGCAATAAGAATTTATGCTTTTTTATCCTTGGGAAAATGGCTGAGACATTAGAGAGACAAGACAAAAGATTGTGAAGATTTGTCAATAAATTAGAAACATTGATCATTTATTCTGCCTTTTTTATATACAACCTCCACCCCTGAGCATTTTAATAGCAGATGAGGGAAGTTTCTATTTATAGATGTTTTCCAGATAATAAACTGATGGAGGAATAAGAGAAAGAATATCATCACTTTGCTACCCTCATGAACTAAAGGATCTAGGCATTGGGCATCAATAACTCCTAATGTTCCATTCGAAGAAACATTCAAGTGTCGCACACCTTGTACTAGAGGGACACAAAACTCTGAAAATCATCTTACCATAAAATTTTAAACTTGAATTTGATCATACTCTATATTCATCTACCAGGAAATACCAAAGACAATAGAATTGCCTATGCTGTAGTATTACAATGAGCAAATCTAGTCTTTGGGAAACTCTACAGGAAAAAAAATGAAGCAATTTCTTCAATATATAACTTAACAGGAAAACCAAGAGAATGAAGAATATTAAATCTAAAGATTTAAAACATCTTAAAATTATAATTTACAGCATAGAGAATCTGGTCAATGATA